CGAATGACTAACGAAAATACGAAATGAAAATTCTACTCATGACGCTAATTCTACTCTACAAAGTACTTTCAATGTTATTATGTAAGAATTACGGATCACCTTGCAATGGAGAGTATAATTTGCGTCACGAGTAGGATATTCATTTTGTGTTTCTGTTGGTTGTTCGGAATCCTATTTCATCTTGTTTTTTTAATTTTTAATGTCCTTGTTTGTGTTGATTTTTTAAATAATATTTATAATATTTCTTTATTTCCCATTTTGATGTCACTTGATTTTACAGAAACAATAATTTTCTTTATTATTATTATCATTGTTATGACTTTACATCATTTATGTGAGACAGCATTAAATACACAAGCTGAAGGAATATCAACTATCCCGATGACAAGTAAAATTAATACTAGTCTTAACACAAGTCCTTGTTCAAGAAGCTATGAGTTGAGAGTGTCCATCTTCCCTGCAATGTTGCAGCTATTCCTGTTCTTGCAGGCTGTTGTCATTCATATTATCATTGCATATTATAACATTTATTAATTGTTGGTTTTTTTTAATAAAATAAAATCACACACTTGATAAAACAGTAACATGTAAAATTAATACCTTCTTTTAGCTGGAAACCTTCACTAAAGTATTGCAGTAGTTGATTCCAAGCATAGCTTGGTAAAAAAATAAGTATTTCCAATTATTTCTTCATCCAGGGCTGCAGATCTAAGCATGCGCAACCACACCCAAAATTTGGAGCAGATGCCTCATGCTTCTTTCATTAACAAAATGGCGGCATGCAGCTAAGATAGCTCTATCCAGCAGTCACAGTATCACTTTTTCTTTACTTGAAGAATGATCTGATGGACATGAATCTGCGCGTAGCCATTTTGAGTAGAGTGGTGTAAGAATTAGTCTTGTAGCACCAACCAATTGTGAGATACACCTCGCCAACTCATTTGACAGGACTAACTTTCTTGATGATGATGATAATGACGAAGATGAAAAAAATGGCTGAACAAAACGGCCAGTTCGCCAATTTTTTAATTTCTTTTTATACAAGGTTTAGAGCCATGCAGGTGGTACCATTGGAGTCCTCTAGTCAAGATAAGGTCCTCTATAAAGTCTGTTAAGCACAGGAGCTCATTTTCCCAGTATAGCAAGGCTGCGAAAGTCATGGCAGCTATTTTGTTTGGGGGTGAATCCCACTTAGTAACTCTACCACGTTACTATTATTAATAATGGATATAGGCTTAAATATAACTGCAAAAATTAGTTATCAGAATATAGGCAGTTTGTTATTGGTGCATCTCTACTCCTGTCTACTTGTTTGTACTCTATGAATCTGTGATAAAAAGTAAAACATGAATGTTACAGGTAGTTATGTTACTTTTGGCTTGTGATGAAAGAATGACTGATTAAAGTCAATATAATTGTAAGTTTTTTTTAGGTATAATGTTGTGATAATTGTGCTTTGACATTTATGCATTCATGTACATGTACACGTAACTACAATATTCTGTTATTATTATTATTATTACTATGTATTCATTGTTGTTGTAGATATGTTATGTATTGATCATTACGTATGTCTTATTATTGTTACTGTTATTATTACCATTGTCATTACTATTCTTATTGTTACTTGCGTTGTCTTTATTGTGGCCATTATTGTTTCTATTAATAGGCAGATTGTCAAAATGACATGATATGATGTATTATGATTTTTAGTATATAAGTGCATGCTTTTACTGTACTGGTTGTTCATTCATTCATTTGTTCATTTCTCTTTCCTTCTAATTCATTATTTCCATTCTCATTTAAAATCCTCTTTGAACCTAGCGAGTTTGCCATTCTCACATTGCTGAGATATGCATGCTGTTCTTCCTACACCCATTTGTGTTCTACTTCAACTACTGGTTGCTACACCATTCAATTCCTGCTTCCCAACATTACAAATGTTACATCAATTTCTTTTTTTTAATGTAATTCTGAGTATATGTATGTACATGTATATTAGTTTATTTGATCCCCATCCTTTACTTTCCTATAGTCATGTTTATCCTACTGAAAGGCGTATATTAGGTAATCTTATGCACTATTACCCAGATTGTCCACCATTCTCTTCTGTAACTTTGGGAACCACCTTACAAAGGTGTTTGATATATTATCGGCACTTAGTCAGTATCCCAGGATTCTAAAATACTTGACACTAGTTCTTCAGTTTTAGTCTTGACAATCCTGCACCTGTATTCCTTCAACTAATGCCACAGATACCCAATTAGATTTAAATCTGGGAATTCAGTAGGACTTTTGCGCCACTCTACATTATTATTATTTAACCACATACTGACTCTTACCTATCATAGAATAAATTATAATCTCCTTACTTAGTTAATCATGGTACAACTATATCATTCTAATGAGTATGCTTACATTCTTACTGTATTTCCTTGCGTAACTAGACATTTTTGTTCTCTAATTTTCTTTTTCTACTGCATAAAGGCTTTTTCCCACTTTGTACAATTTTTTCACATTACCGAAGTATGCTTAGGATCATTATCCTGTATGAATCAGGAGTTTGAATTCACTTGATTCAAATATGGAGAAGACCTTCATTGAGCAATTCAATGAAGCCACTTGCATTTATTTGTCCTTCAAAAATTATGATAGGAGTTTTCTGTTGTCAGCTAATGCCTGCCAAAACATGGACTTTGCAAGGCTGCTTTGCTCTATGTAATAATAAATTATCAAACAATTTACTATTTGTAATTAATTTTCACCCAGGTTTTGGCCTTGCTGGAGTTCCTCTTTCTACAGGCAAGCCTATGCTAACAAACAGGATTCTGCAGGGAAGTATCTAGAAACTGGGAAAAGGGGGTGCTGAGGACACCTAAGGAGGCAGTGATTTTGGTCACACCCTTTTGAGGTTGTAAAACGGTACGGTACTTTCCTTCATTTTCACAAATTACGGGTGTGGTCAAGATGATTTCAATCATACTGGTACTTCTGATCGCTCTTTTAAGCACTGGAAACTGCTGAAATCATGATCAGGTGGCTACGTAACTTCAAAGGTCTTAGTAGTGATAAAAGAGTCCAGGATTTGAGTAATTTTTTTTCAGCCCAGCCATGAGGCGGGTGCTCAAGCCTCCTCAGCCCCCCATGCATACGCAAGTGTACTGCTCTCATCTGTCCATAATACATTATCGATTTCATCATTTAGAGCCTCGTGAAAGTCCTTCTTAACCAACTATTGTCATTTCTGCATGATGGCTTCCCTTATGAGCTGGCAGGAAGCACGTCCACAAAAAGTCCAGCCTAACATTTCTCAAGACGGTAAGATGGTTCGTAATGAAAGTTGGTGACCATTATCTAACACAACTTTTTGTAGCTGCATAGCAGTAGTTTCATCATCTAACTGCATCTGATTTTCAACAATCCTTGAAACACCAACTGTGATAATTGTAGGACGTCCTGATCCTATAAGTATAAAATCAAAGGTGTTTATTGGTATCTTGTCCTTTTTTAGCATTTCAACATTACTGGTTGACTTATGTCCTAAAGCTGCGCGAGAATAACGGTAAAAAGATGCAAGTGATATCCTAACGTGATAAGTGGATAAAACTTTGCTGGTTATACGTAGTGCAAACCATGTCAGAGACAAGTCTGAAAAACGCAGGGTAAGAGTAGAGAAAAGAGATGTCTGAAGATGTGAAGAGATCTGGCACATTATTAGAAGGTAGGCTGAGTTCATATGTGCTGTGCATATATCTGTGCATGCGCTATCTTCGAATGCATGTGCATTACAAATGTGGTGAGACTTCAATCGTACTTCAACAGTATTATTATCGTAGAACTGCAGATCTACAGTTCACTACTTAGCTTTAATTTTGCGCTATACTGTACATGTTACTATGTAAGAGTGACTGAACAGTACATAGCAGTTATGTCAGCAACCACATCCATGTTCAAAGTACTTCGATAATTTTTCTTCCTTGTGCTGGTCTTCATTCCTCTTGTCATCACAAAAGGGAGTGGTTTAATTTTCTGGAGCATCAGGTGTCACTTATTCTAAATCCAGATCTGATACTTGTAACTCCCTGGCAACCTCAGCATCAAACAGCATTGGATTAATATCATCATCACAGACTTTATTCTCTTTCTCCATATCTTTTACTTCTTCAAATTCATATTGTGCATTTATACAAGAGATGGAATTTGATTGTTGTGATATCTAACTGCTATTGACAGTTAGTATGTAAACCAACTGTTATAGAAAAGCTTACCACTAGTTTAATCACAAAAGTAATCCCAAAGCACTGAAGTACGTAGGGACTGTCTTGAAGACATTTTTTCATTCAGCAAGCAAGTCATGTCTCTTTCTGTACACAATTTTGAAGTAGTCATCTTCGTTTATGTTACACCTTTAATATTTGCTATAGAGACTACATTGTCACCTATGACGCAGTTAAGCTCTCTGTTTCTGTTCCGTGTTAGCTCTGTGTAATAATTTTATGTGCACAATCAAGGTAGAATTGTGGAAGGGCTTGTAACTCAGCAAAGAAGGCCTTGTTTTGCTGATTCAGGTGTCAAGGGAAAATTTTGTTTCTGTAACATGTTTCATGATAAATTGGATTTCGCCTACATGAAGATTTTTTGTGATTACAAGCCATATCTCAAACTGATAATTCCTGGAGATAGCCTTCTCATTTCTTCATATTGGGTCACATATTCAAGTTTATTTTTTGCACAGTTGTTAATTTTATTCTCTTTCTCAGATACATAATGCACACTGTGGTATAAGTATTTATGTAATACTTATAACATGGCTAGGAGTGATGTATCTAATTTACAGTCACCGATCCCGAGGGCGCATGCGCCCGAGGGGGAGGGGACTGTAAATCAAATACATCATGAACTAGCCATGTTATAAGTTGCTTATGTCAGGATGAAGCACATCAAAGGCTCTGCGCACACGCATGCGCAGAATACCTTGTGGCACGTGCTGGAATTGAATAATGGCTGAAGCTACTGATTGTGAGCCCGTGAGTAAGAGATTAAGAAGCAAGAGTTCAGACGATGAAGAGGTCGAAACAGTGCCCGAAGAAGAGATTGAATCATTACAGGAGCTGGAGGGAGAGGCAGAAGTGGAGTTAGAAGATGGAGAGAGATTTGTGAGCCCGAAGAAACCCTTACAGATGTATCAAGGTCGTTTTGTACCCAAAAATACTGCGGTCAATATGAAGTGGGCTGTAAAGAATTTTATTGATTGGAAAGCGTCTTATAATGGTCGTCACCCCGAGGAGCCGTGCCCTGACGAAGTATTGTTGAGCGACAACCCCACTGAGCTTTCTCTATGGCTACAGAGACATATTCTAAGTACGAGAACGAAAGACTCCTAAGAGATTGTATTTGTTGTGTGGATTATATCGCTATATGAAAGAGAATAAAGAGTGTGTGCTAAATATATTCAATCGTGAAGACCCAGACTTTAAGAAGCTATTCAAGACTTGTGACTGTTATTTCCGAGGGCTTCGTGATGATGGTGTAGGGAGTGAGAGTTCTGCAACTGAGGCTTTAACGAAGGAAGATGAGGAAAAGCTATGGGCATCTAAAGTGCTAGATCCATCGCATCCTAAAGGGCTACTTAACGTTGTCTTCTTTTTGAATGGGAAAAATTTTGCATTACGTGGTGATAATGAGCACAGATCACTGAAGCTCTCTCAGATTAAGAGGAACATCTCGCCTGAAGGGAAACTACGATACACTTACACAGAAAACTGTTCTAAAAATAGGGCTGGGGGTTTTAATCAGCTGAATGTTCCCAACAAGGTTGTTCATCAGTACAAGGATATAGAAGCCGGCGAGCGTTGTCATGTCCATATTTTGGATACCTATCTGCCAAGCTGCCTCCAAATGCTGCTGATATGGATATATTTTATCTACGTCCTAACCAGAATAGTGCTG